AATTGAGCAGTCAGGGAAGTCAGGACTCTGCATATCTGACCTGTTGTGTTTTGGGACTCTGAACTGCCTTGATGGGGGCAGTGCAGTCTGGGCCAAAGGTCACTTGTCTCATTTCCGGCAGCTGCTGCCTACGGAACACCAAGGATCTGTGACTGTGGTTGCGTCTTGTCAAGAGCCTCAGAGCCAGCTGTTTAGAGGAAATACCCAAGTAGCCTGCAGGCTTGTGGGGGCTGCCGGAGGGTGGAGGAGGAGGCTGCTTTTGCAGCTGCAGCCCCGCATTGGCTGCTGCTACCAGGTGTCTGGACATAGCCCTGGAGGAGCCTGGCTGAGAGATCTTCATGCGTAGCCACGCTACCAGTGTTTATGCCCTGCTCTAAGCCCTTCAGGGGCTCTCTGTTGCCCGCGGAGCAGGCTAGATGTCTTAGCAGGGTGCACAAGATGGGGCTGCCCGCCGTCCTCACCTGCTTGTCTGGGCACACCCTACCTGTTTGGCTGTTCAAGTGCCCCGATTCCCTGGGTGGGACACCTGTGTAGCTTTGCCAATGCAGTTTTTCCTGCTGAGCTTCCTCCCTTCCTGTATCTTCAACAGTCACTTCCTTCCAAATCCTGGCTGGATGGATCTCTCCTCCTTGAAGCCTCCACTGCTGCTCCCTACTGATGGGCTGAGGGCATTCTCCACTCACCACTGCAGTTCATTCCTCTTTCCTCCCCAGCTCTCCCCCTCCCTGCCTTTATTCCTTCCACAGCTAGTATTAGGTACCTGATGATGTTTGGACACCCCAGGGTGCTGAGAAAACAGGGATGAGCCAGAGCAGACCCAGACCCTGCCCTCAAGGAGTTTGAAATCCCACAGTGGCCCATAAATTCATCAGACAATGAAGATGAATAATACACAAGTCAAATCTTTTCTTTAAAAAAGTTAAACTGACAATAAAAGATTGTCTCTGTGATTTAAATGAAAAAAACCGGGGTGCCCCCCTGGCTCAGTTGGTGGAGCTTGCGACTCTTCATCTCGAGGTCATGAATTCGAGCCCCATGTTGGGTGTAGAGATTACTTTAAAAAGAAAAAAAAAGACAGGTTGAGAAAAAGGTACATTGACAGTCTTGTGGTCTCAGATCCCTTGCAGGTTAAGTAAAGCCTGGGGTTTCAGGACTTTGTCAAACTCCAGTTTATGTGTAAACATGAGGGAGAGAGAGTACTTTGTTCACCTTGGAGCACCTTCCATGAGCAGAGCCCTGGGGTTAGCACGAGAGATGTCCTGGGCTCAGAGCTCTGTGGGGGAACAAGCCAGAAGAGGAGAGATCCCAGCGTGAAATCTCAACGCAGGCTTCACTTTCACAGGGAAGGCCTTTCTCCCTTTGAGAAGATGGGGGCGTTCACTGCTCAGGGTTTTCCTTTGTAGTGTTTTGTCTTTGTTTTTGTTTTTTAAGGAGGCTCCATACTCAGTACCGAGCCCAACGCGGGGCTTGAACTCATGACCCTGAGATCAAGACCTGAGCTGACATCAAGAATCAGATGCTTAAGGGGTGCCTGGGTGGCTCAGTTGGTTAAGCGTCCAACTTCAGCTCAGGTCACGATCTCGCAGTCTGTGAGTTCGAGCCCCGCGTCGGGCTCTGGGCTGATGGCTCAGAGCCTGGAGCCTGCTTCTGATTCTGTGTCTCCCTCTCTCTCTGCCCCTTCCCCATTCATGCTCTGTCTCTCTCTGTCTCAAAAATAAATAAACATTAAAAAAAAAAGAAGAATCAGATGCTTAACCAACTGAGCCACCCAGGCACCCCTCCTTTGTAGTGTTGATCACCATTTGGAATTGTGTAATTGCCTTATTATTTGGTTCCCATCTCTTACTGGTCTAGAAACTCCATGAGAATGGTAAAAAGATGGCTTTATTGAAATACAATTCATATATCATAAAACTCACCCTTTGAAAGTATACAATTCAGTTGCCTTTAGCATATTAAGCATTGTGCAACCATCAACACTATCTAATTTCAGAATGTTTTCATGATCCCAAAAAGAAACCATTAGCAGTCACGCCCCCCCCCGCCCATTAACTTCCACCCATCCCTAGCTCCCAGCAACTACTAACGTACTTTATGTTTGTATGGACTTGCCTATACTGGACATACCATATAAATGGGATCATACAATATGTGGCCTTTTATGACTAGCTTTTTTTCACTTAGCATAATGTTTTCAAGAGTCATTCATATTCTTTCCTTTTTATGGCCAAGTAATAGTGTGTGGTGTATGGATACATTTTGTTTTTCCATTCATCAGTTGATGCACATTTGGGTTGTTTCCATTTGGAGACTGTTAGTGATGCAGGTTGGCTGCATCCGAGGACCCAGAGGAAATCCTGCAGGACCAGCCAAGAGGGTCTTTGGCTTCTCACAGGATAGAAATTAAGCACAAGCCGAGAGGAAGTGAGAACAGCATTTATTGAGGACTTAAAGCAGATACAGACAGAGTGGGTGACTCAGAAAGGAAAGAGGTGTGAGTCTCATGTTTGCTTGGGGTCTGGGGTTTTCATTGAGGATATGGTCAATGCACGTGTCTTCTCAGGCATCCAGCAACAAAGAGAAGTGTTTAGGTGTCTTCCATTAGTCACTTATGCCCTGGAGCCAATGGTCTTGGTGAGTCAGTGGTCTTGGAAAATGGTTCACGAGGACCCACCTCATCATTCCTTAGATGTTATCTGCTGCGCTGAATGACTCCAAAGAAATCATTAACTCCATGCCCTTTATAAGGAGAACATACATTATCTGTACCATAAAGTGTGTGTAGAGTGGAGGTATAGGTCCTAGCAAGAATAGAGGCAACAAAAAAGTAGTCTTTCATGGGGTCCATTCAGTTTCCCTATCTTGTTATGAATAAAGCTGTTGGAAACATTCCTATACAAGTTTTTGTGTGTCCATGTTTTCATTTCTCTTGGGCATACAGCAAGGATTGGAATTGCTGGGTCACGTGCTTCCTCTGTGCTTCATGTTTTGAGGAACTACCAGAGTGTTCTCCACAGTGACTGCACCATTTTACCTTCCCACCACCAGTGGATGAGAGTTCCAGTTTGTCACATCCTCACCAACACGTGTTTATTTTCTGATTTTGTTTTTCTAGTAGCAGTTGTAATGGGTGTGAGGTGGTATCTCACTGTGGTTTTGATTTGCATTTCCCTAATAATTGAGTGTTGTGCATCTTTTCATGTGCTTATTGGCCATTTCCATGTCTTCTTTGCAGAAATATCTAGTCAGTCCTTTGTCCATTTTGAACTACGTTGTCTTTTTATTGTTGAGTTGTGGGAATTCTTTATTCTGGATACAGCCTCTTATTGATACATGATTTCCAAACATTTTCTCCCATTCTGTGGGTTGTCTTTTCACTTTCTTGATGTTGTCTTTTGAAGCATGAAGGTTTTACATTTTGAAGTCCAACTTAGATGATCTTGCTTCTAGTTCTGTTGCTTCTAGTCACATCAAAGAAACCATTGCCTAAGTGATAAAGATTTGCTCCTTTTGTAAGAGTTTGATGGTTTTAATCTTCCATTTAGATGTATGTCTATCTTATTCTAGGTTATATTCCCAGTGCCTAGAATAATGTCTGATGTATAGAAGGCACTCAATACTTACCGAGTTAAATGAATGAATTAATATATTTTGAATGAATAAATGAATGAATGAACAGATATCTCTTGTCCCAGAGCTGTTGCTATCTCAGTAGAGCCACACTGAGAAAGTGGCTGAGAAAGTGGCATGATACAGACAAAGGGCTCCAGTCTGTTTTAATCTCACCCCCAGGGAACCTGCCTTTAGTAAGCTCTCACAGTTCCTTTTCTGCCAGTTCCCCCTTTCCCACTGTCCCTCAATTTTGCTTCTCTTTAGTTTCTCTACTTGACAAAATATAGCTACGGCATTTCCTAAATAAATAATATCTGGCCTACTTTGGTTAAATTGCAAATATAGCAGATACATAAGAAAATTTTTCCTGTCATTAAAAATCTTGGTTGGCTTGATATTTCTCTTGTTGGCTTATGTTGGAGAAATAAATTTGGATAACATGGCAGTGTACAAATTACAAAGTAAAAGTTGCCTCGTTGGGTGGAGGGAAATATGTTTGGAATTTACTTTTAGAAAAAAAATGTATGTGCATGCAGAGAGAGAAAATATAAAATAAAAACTGAGGAGCCTGGGTGAAGGGTATTTCAGGAGTTCTTTGTACTATTATTTTAACAGCTTTTTGTGTATTAAATATTTTTTAAATGTTTTGGTTTTTTTTTAAAGAAAGAGAGAGAGAGAGTGCAGGGGAGGGGCAGAGAGAGAAGGAGAGAATCCCAAGCAGGCTCTGTACTACCATCACAGAGCCCGATGTGGGGCTCGAACTCATGAGCCATGAGATCATGACCTGATCTGAGATCAAGAGTCAGATGCTTAACCAACTGAGCCACTCAGATGCCCCATATATTAAATATTTTTTAAAATTCATCTCTCACAATCCCACCCAGAGAGGCAATTAGGCTGGGGTCCCTGAGAGGTCACTGTGTGCTGGGTGTTTACATTCATTTTCTATTTAATCCTCCCCTCAGCTGTTGAGGAAGAGGCAAAGGTGAAGGCAGGGGACCGTGCTGGCACGACTGGGTTGAGTAGTGCAACTGGAATTGGGATGCGGGTCTCTGACCTCCAGGCCTATATTCTTTTATGGCTTGTATATCTCAAATACTAATCCTTTCCCCAGGGAATGACTGGTGTCTTTGGTGCCGATTATCTCCTTCATGTGCCTCTGTCATCATATCCTTGATACTTCACGAGCCTGTGCTCACTGAGGGCAGATGGGAGATGGTCCAGGAGTTTCTGGAATAGAGGGGCTGCCATCCTGGGACTTGAAGGGTCTGGAGGGAATCACTGCCCCTCACCAGCCAGCAGGCAGGCCCCCGTGTCTCGCTTTCCTGGGGCATCCGAGGCTCTCAGGAGGCAGCCCTGACCCCCCTTCTGTCCCTCCTGTGCTCCAGGAGCTGAAGCTGCCCGCCTTCCGAGCCCACTCCCCACTGTTGAAGAGCCGCCGGTTCTTTGTGGACATCCTGACCCTGCTGAGCAGCCACTGTCAGCTGTGCCCCGCGGCCCGGCACCTGGCTGTCTACCTGCTGGACCACTTCCTGGACCGCTACAACATCACCACCTCCAAGCAGCTGTATGCCGTGGCGGTCTCCTGCCTCCTGCTCGCAAGTATGTGGAAACCGCTGCTTCCCACCCACTCCCCCCCCCCCTTAGAGCCTGGGTGCTCCTGAGTCATTTTACATTTCTGAGGTCTTTGCACATCTTCTGTGTCCATCCTTTGCTGAATGCAAACTATAGTCATAATAATCAACACTTTCTTTAGCGTCTGTAATGTTCCAGGCTAAGTGATAAGGATTTTAGCATCTTGATTTTAATGCATCCACACTATGACCCAAGAGACAGAGAGACGGGTACTTGTAGTACCCCCATCTTACCGAGACATAGAGAGATTAAGAAGCTTGCTTTGGGTCATCTAGCTAGTATATAGCAGACACAGTTTGGGCCCAGAACTGCGTGGTGCCAGAACCTGTACTCTTAAGGCAGTGTCACCAGAGGCATAGGGCCTCTGAGTGTGCTATTAGGGGAATGTATGTCAGGGGAAACCCTAACAACCACTGCTCTTAGAGGTATGTAGAAATGTGACTGCTTGATTGGGGCCAACCAAGACCCATTGTGTTGTCGCCAGGCCTGGACACCAGGCCTCAATCATCCATTGAGGCCCAACAAAAAACACAGCATAGCTGTCTGTCTGTCTGCCTCAGTAGGGACTACCGCCTGACTATGCTGCTCAGGTCATGTGCTTAAAACACAGTTCTGTCATGCCATCCTGCTACTTAAAATCGCCCCCTGGTTTACCAACAATCTGAGGATACGGATCGTCTATCAAGGTCCTGTCTGTCTGACCTCATACATTTCCCCTCTTCAGGCACTGAATCCCAGCTAGGCCCCCTCCTGTCACAGAACTTTGCCCATGCTGTCTCCTCTGCCTAGAAAGCTTCCCCACCCCACCTGTCTGGGCCCAATTAAATGTCACTCAGGCCCCACATCCTTGAGAAAGCCTTCCCCCGCACACTCAGCAAATACACATTTCCATGGCATCATGCACTCTTAATTAACACCCACCCCCACTACTAAACAGTAAGTTTTGGGGAGGGAAAGGAACCTAGTACATCATAAGACCTGAAAAAAATATTTGTGGAATAAAGGAAATGAATGAAGCTAGAGGTTCCTTCCGAGCTGGGCTTTCACACCTCTCCAAGGTGCCCTTAACGGAAAGGAGTGACGTGCCCCAAAGTGGCCAGCTACAATCATGACATTTCCTTGACATCTAGTATTTTCTTCTGACAATTCAGTCAGAGTTTACATTCCCCTCTACAATATGTTATCATCCTGTTTTATTATATCGGCCCCTCTCCAATCCTTGAGTCCCACCGATGCCACAAGAGGATGGTACCCATTTTCTCCTATGGCTCTGTCCTCGGCATGCTGCCCTGAACCCCTGTGGCCACGATCACCCAGTTCCAGAAGCACAGCTATAGAGGTTTAAACATTCTGTATTGTTTTCCACCATGGCACTTTCTACCTGTTATTCTAATCCCTTTGGCTGCTTTGGGTGTACAGTCTTCCAATTTGATTTGCTCTACCTTGGGCCAGCTGATTTCCTGTGTTCTACAGAGAAGTCAGTCTTGCTGGGTGGGAATCCAGTCTGCTTGCTACCTCAAAGTCCCAAAACAACATGTAGCTCCCTTCCGTCTTGGGAAGAGATGCAGGGCTTGCAAGATATCACTGTTGGCCGAGGGCAGAACGGGCATCACATTTCAGGCGGCCTAGGAGAAGTCCGCGCCATGGCCTTTGGCCTGCTGCTGTCTGTGATCTATGGGCTGCATCGAGGCCCCATGGGGGCAGGGGACTTAGATTTCCATGAGGCCATGGAGGCTGTCCTCCAGCGTCTGTCTGGGGAGCTGGGACGTGAGGCGCACACTGGAGACTCCTTTGTGCTGCCGCCGTCATGGCAGAGGGAAGAGGGCCTTTCAGACAGAGAGGCAGACACCCCCACCCACATGTCTGAGGGCAGCAGCCAGCCTGGGGCAGCAGGAACGGATTTTTCAGGACACCTGCCATATGCTCAGAGGCCCAAGGAAAGAAAAGTTTCCATGACAGCCTGAAATCCTATTCATTGCTCCCTCCCCTCTCCCCAGGCTGACTATTAGCTACAAGGGGGGGGGGTGGTCACCTTGCCTCAGGAAGTTTTGAGTTCTGCTAATTCTGTACCAGATAATTCCTAGATAAGAAGAGTAACATTTCTTGCACCCACCTGTCAGTTTTTCAGTTTTTAGAGCTGTTTCCAGATAAGAGCCTTTGCACAGATGGAACCTTCTCACCTACCTGCAGCCCCTCTGCCCCCATAAATCAAGGGTCAGTCAAGGGTCCATATCTTGGTCAGACCAGTGGAAGTCAAGGGTCAGACCAATGGAAGGAGGTGGAAAAGCAAGCGCTTATAGGTTGTTCCATGGTGGACTTGGTCTTCCTATTATTGAGTTAACTGTTCATGTAACCTACACGGGATAGAATCCTACCATAAATATAATCTAGATGTAAGTATACTGTAAATATAGTAGAGCCACTGTCTTCTTTAATCTTTCATCTTTTACAGCTTCCCAGCCCCTCTTTTTGTTGTTGTTATAGCTGTTTAATTAAAAGGATAATTTGGCAGCATGGAGACCCCACAACTTCCAGGTGAATGGGCTTTGTCAGCGTGCCATAACTGTCATCCTGGTGGCCGCAGCTTTATTACTTACTAGCCCCTTTCTCCACACCCGGCTGTGTGTCAAGCACTTAACACCCATGTCTCTTGGAATCCTCCCAACCAGCCTATGTGGTTGTGCTGTCATCTGCCCATTCCGTAAGCTCAGAGAGGCTGAGTAACTTGCCTATGATCACACAGCTCAGGAGTTTTGTTTGTTTTTTAAATGCGGTAAAATTCATATCACAACATGAAATTTACCATTTTAGCCATTGTGAACCATACAGTTTCACGGCGTTTAGTACATCCATTCACACTGCTGTGCAACTGTTGCCTCTCTCTAGTTCCAGAACATTTTCATCCCCCCGAAAGGAACACTTGTATCCATTAAGTGGCCACTTCCCATTCCTTCCCACTCACAGCCACTGGCAGCCATTAATCTGTGTTCTATCTGTACGGATTTGCCTGTTCTGGACATTTCGTGTGAAAGGAATCCTACAGTACATGACCTTTTGTCTGCTTTCTTTCACTTAATGTTTTCAGGGTTCATCCAAATTGTAGTGCACATCAGTCCTTCATTCCTTGTCATGGCTGAATAACACTGTTGTATGGGCATACCACAATTTGTTTATCCATTTATCTGTTGATGGACATTTGGGTTGTTTCCACCTTTTGGCTGTTATTATTAGTGCTGCTATGAACATTCAGTACCAGTTTTGTTTGAACACCTGTTTTCAGTTCTTTTAGGCAGAAGCCTAAGAGTGGAATTGCTGATTAGAATTGGCTCTTCAGTGTTGAACTTTTTAAGGAAACCCAGAGTTTTGCTTTTGCCTAGCTATTGCTGCTCCGAGATGACTGGGTGTTGAGTGCTTGGCCAGGGCATGAAGCAACCTGAGAAGGAGAGAGGGTGGGGAAGAAAACCAAAAAGGCAGGAGGCATGATCAGGGTGGCTTTTTTGGTAGGGCAGCATGGCCTTAAATGTGAGACGTTGTTATTACAATCAAAAAGGTATGAGATACATTTTTATTATGAAAAAATCCAATTATATAAAAATTCATTTCCGGGATGTCTGGGTGGCTTAATCAGTTGAGTGTCCAACTCTTGATTTCATTTCAGGTCATGATCCCAGAGGTGTGGGATTGAGCCCTGCGTCGGGCTCCATGCCAAACATGGAGCCTGCTTAGGATTCTCTCTCTCCCTCTCTCTGCCCCTGTCCCACTTGTGTGTGTGTGCTCACACTCTCTCTCGCTCTCTCTAAAAGAAAAAAGAAAAAAAATTGTTTTCCCCAAACCCATAGTCCTTTTGCCACAGTTTGGTGTGTATACTTCCAGACCCAAACATATTTATGTGTTTTCATAATTGGGAAAATAAATCTATTTTTGTTGACAAGGTGGTAAAAGGAATCCTAGATCACACCCATATAAACTGCCCAGTAAACAGAATTGCAAGATTCCCTCCCTCTCCCCCATTCCATTGTACTTTCTCTTCTGGATTGTGAGCCCCATCCTGCCCCTCACTGACTGCTTCTGGTATGTGAAGCGGGAAAAGCTAAGGGTGACAAGTTTGTTTCTTGGGGTAAAGTTCTGACTTTCAGGCTTTTGTAGGTGAGGCTGAGTCCTCTGCTAGCCTTCATTTCAGCCCTCCTCCTCCCCAGAAGAGGAAAGCATCAAATGCGGGGGCAGAGTATCCTTTAGCTCACAGTGAATCTGTCATGCTGTGATGCATGTACCTACAGAAAGGCTCACCTTCCCACTGCAAATTTTGTTTTAATTTTTTTAAATGTTTCTTTATTTTTGAGACACACACACACACACACACACACACACACACACACACACAGTGTGAGCAGGGGAGGGGTAGAGAGAGGGAGACACAGAATCCAAAGCAGGTTCCAGACTCCAAGCTGTCAGCACAGAGCCTAACTCAGGGCTCAAAACTCATGAACTGTGAGAACATGACCTGAGCTGAAGTTGGATGCTCAACGAACTGAGCCACCCAGGTGACCCCAAAATTAGAAATAGTATACTCATTTGGACAGTGAGATTCACAGAATAAAGTAAAAAATCTGCTGCCTGTCCCACTCACCAAAAATACCTTCTGGGAGTAGTTTCTTATGTCTTTTTCCAAAATTGATCTACTGTAATTCCTCATAATTCAAAGATTCCATACTTGCGAATTGACTAAAATTTGTGGGTTTTTTAATTTATTTTGAGAGAGAGAGAGCAGGGGAGGGGCAGAGGGAGAGGGAGAGAGAGAGACAGACAGACAGACAGACAGACAGACAGAGAGAATCCCAAGCACTCTCAGCACAGAGTGTTGTGGGGCTCAGACTCACAAACCGTGAGATCATGACCTGAGCCGAAGTTGAGAGTCAGGTGCTTAACCGACTGAGCCACCCAGGTGCTCCTCACTAAAATTTATTTGT